CTGGTACTCTTAATGGATATACTACACTGGCTTTGGTCCCAGTCGCCTGGTTCTTTGGGTGCCATTCCATGATTCTGCTACAGTAGTGGCTTAATCATAAGCAGTTAATGCCTGGTCTGTATTAATTATTAGAGTTATAGTTTATATTGTGCAATGAATGTCCCATTAGTGGAATCCTAAGCCTGTTTGTGTGTGTGTGTGTGCCAAGTGCCGTCAAGTGGCTTCCGGTTTATGGTGACCCTATGAATTAATGTTCTCCAAAACATCCTCTTGTTAACAGCCTTGCTCAGGTCTGGCAGACTGAGGGGCCCTTGTGGCTTCCTTGACTGAGTCCGTCCATCTCACGTTGGGTCTTCCTCTTTTACTCAGAAGTCTGTTCCGCTGAGCTTAATGGGGCTTACTCCATAGGAAATGCACTTAGGATATCATTGCATATCTTGTAGACTCCGCATGAAATCGCACTCCTCCACATGCAGCTGCTGTCCTTGAAAGACTGACCTTGGGTCAGTCAAAAGTTCTTTCAGAGCTGTTCTCTCAAGAGCAGTGCTCGAAAGAGCTCTCTCAGCCCCACCTACCTCACAGGGTGTCTGTTGTGGGAAGGGGAAGGGAAAGGAGATTGTAAACCGCTCTGAGACTCTGAGTGAAAGGCGGGGTATAAATCCAATCTCTTGTTCTTCTTCTGTCTTCTGCATAGTGCCGGTTAACACCAACTGCATTCAGACATCACAATGAGCTGAGACTGCGCTAGAACACAGTTCATAGCTGTTTTTGTGCCTTCCTCTCCTGCCTCCAGACACGGCGTTTTAGTTAAAACTTCCTGATTTGATCATATGTTGATTTGCCATGACGTCTGAATGGAGGTACCAGGGTGAATTTGTTTTATTCCCCACCAACTGGGATTCTACATGGGGATTAAACCAACATTTGGAGTCCTGATTTGTGTGTGTGTGTACAAACTCCAGATTGTGGAGGTAGTTGCATTCGAGCAGCATGGCAATGTGGAATGTGATCGAGCCAGGGAGTTTTCAATCAAACATCGTGTGTGGAGGAAGGAGTGGAGGTGGTAGGAGTGAGTGAAGTGTGTGATTGCAGCGACAAAGCGGTGTTCATGTTTGATCTCAGTTTCATTTCAGCTTGTCATCATTTCTGAATGTAGCCGACGGTTGAAATTACATAAATTAGGAGTAGCTGTCCAGAGTCCTTTAAAAGTGCTATGTAGCGGAGGGCCTACGGGGTTCGAAATTGAACCAAAGTGTCAGGTTCACACAACTGAGATCACAGTGTATGGTATATCTTGGAGTGAAGACAGGCAGTAGATTTTGAGAGCTGAGAATGGTTTGTGAGAGGCTTTACTTCCAATAATCTATGAACATATTTTTTTTTCTTGTCCTATGGTGTTCTCTGGCCAAACCGAGACCGATACTCCTATTGTAGGGACACAACTTCGCTGTTTCGGGGATTTCTTTTTTTAGCTGGTAGCACTGTTGAGAGGCTCACAAGGTGAAGAAATCAAGAAAGAAAAGGCCTTAAAGGATCACAAAGATGTAAGGGTGTGTGTTTGAAGTATGAGGAGTAGTACATAAGGGTTTCTGCTCTTCTCGGACGTAACCAATTAGCCTTTGATCAGTCCTCTAGCACTGGGATTGTATAGTAAGAGAGCATACAGACACCACACAGATGAATAAATAATAAAGGCACAGGCATGGGGCGGGGCGTGTTGTGTCGCTCATCAATAATGATATTGCAAACAAGTATCCATTAGGTACCCATTACATTAATGCAACCACATTCTAGTACACAGCAATCACAATCATAATGGATGCACTAAGGAAAGTGGTACATTTCCCCAGTTTCAAAATCTAGGACTTGGAAAATGTACATAGGTGGCCCTCAAGGGATCATGGAATGGCTACCACCCTTCTTGGGGGGGGGAGAACTCATGCTCTTTCTTTGTTCTGTTCATGACTGAGACTTCCCTACCCATTTCAGGACACAAGACTTCTCCTCTTCCAGTTTGCCCTTTTCCTGAATCCCCAAACACCCCCCCCCCAATGTGGTCCTCCCTGGTCACAGAGATCGATATGGGCACCTGCCCTCAAGGAGCTGCACAGATTACCAGGCACAATTCAAAGTGCACTTTTTGACTTTAAAATCAGTGAAGAGCATAAAGAGAAGAGGAAGAGGAGGAGATTGGATGTATACCCCGCCCTTCACTCAGAGTCCCAGAGCAGCTTTCAAACTCCTTTCCCTTCCCCTCCCCACAACAGACACCCTGCGAGGTGGGTGGGGCTGAGAGAGCGCTTTCGAGAACGGCTCTTTCAAGGACAGCTCTGACAGAACGATGGCTTGCTCAAGGTCATCCAGCAGCTGCAAGTGGAGGAGGGGGGAATGAAACCCAGTTCTCCCAGATCCGCGCACTTAACCACCACACCAAACTGGCTCTATATAACGGGGCGGAGCTTCAGCTCAGTGACTGAGAAACGTGCCATGCATGCAGAAGCTGATGTCTCAAGCTGAAGGATCTCAGGCAGCAGGTGCCAAGAAACACCTGAGCTGCTGCCAGTCAGAGTAGTCAATACCGAGCTAGACAGGTCAATAGTCTGGCTATGTGTTAAGGCAGCATTCAATAGAGCCGTTGGTGTCTGGGAGGGTCATGAAGATTTCCTCTTCCTGTATGCCCTGAACCCTACCAGATTTAGGAGGAGAGGAGATTGGATTTATACCCCCGCCCTTCACTACCCAAAGGTGTCCCAGAGCGGCTTACAGACTCCTTTCCCTTCCCCTCCCCACAACAGACACCCTGTGAGGTGGGTGGGGCTGAGAGAACTCTGACACAAACTGCTCTTTTTCAAGGACAGCTGTGCCAGAGCTTGTGACTGACCCAAGGTCACATCAGCAGGTGCAAGTGGAGGAGTGGGGAATCAAACCCGGTTCTCCCAGATTAGAGTCTGCCCACTTAACCACTACACCAAACTGGCTTTGATCCAGACTGGGAAACTCCTGGAGATATAGGGATGGAGCCTGAGGAGGACAGGGACCTCAGTAGAGGAAGAGGAGAAGAAGAAGGAGAAGAGGAGGAGGAGGAGGAGATTGCATTTATACCCCACCCTTCACTACCCAAAGGAGTCTCAGAGCGGCTTACAAACTCCTTTCCCTTCCCCTCCCCACAACAGACACCCTGTGAGGTAGGTGGGGCTGAGAGAGCTCTTGACAGAAACTGCTCTTTTTCAAGGACAGCTCTTATCAGAACTACGGCTTGCCCAAGGTCATCCAGCCAGGTGCAAGTGGAGGAGTGGGGAATCAAACCCGGTTCTCCCAGATTAGAGTCCGCGCACTTAACCACTGCACCAAACTGGCTCTGGAGTGGTGGTGAGCTCTGGAGATTTGGGGGTGGAGCCTGGGGAGGGTGGGGTTTGGTGAGATGGTATAATGCCACAGAGTCCAGTCTCCAAAGCGGCCATTTTCTCCAAGGGAGCTGATTCCTGTCATCTGGATACTGGTTGTAATTCCAGGCCCCACTGGGAGATTGGCAACTCTAGTTTGGGTGACCTCTCAATCTGGTTTCTATGGTGGGAACTTTCTTGGGTGCCCCAACAGTTTTGGGGGAACTCCTTGTCCAGAGAGGTTCACCAGGGAGACCCCCTCCTGACTTGCGGAAGGCTAAGTCTTTCTATGTAGCTTTGTTGCATGGTGTTGGCAAAATGTTTGTGGATGGGATGTGAAATGGTTACAGAGCTGGTATTTATTTGAACAGTTTCTACTGGAATTTGAGCATGTTGTTAATGTTTATTATAAGTAGCCCAGGAAGAAAACCCCACTTTTAGAAGTGGGGGGGGGGGGGGGGGGGCTGACAATTGGCATGAATCCCCAGAATCTCACATGGAAGATGTGCAAGTTGAGAAGGGTGGTGGAGGCAGCTCTTTGTGACTGAATTGGTGCTCTGCTTTGGCGTGCGGGTGTGTGTTCTCATGGAAACGGTACATCATTTTGCACATGTCCTGAAGTCTCTCTCAGATTAAATATAAGCCGCTTTGGACGTGAAAAACAGCGGCTTACAAATCCAAAACGACAACTGAGGGGGACCAACCTCTCCACCTCCCCGCTTTGCATTGCTTCGGCTCTCCTGACGAACTGCCCCGGCTCGGCTCGGCTCGGCAGTCCGGCCTGCGCCACCAGCAGCCTGGCGGTTCGCGCTCCCTCCAAGGCCGGCGATGTCGGGAGCCGAGCCGCGCGCGCGCACGCGGACTTTCCCCGGGCGGCGCGTGCTCCAGCGCACCCCCTAGGGGCCAGCTGCGCCCAGGCGGGTCACGTGCGAGCGTGACAGAGGCAGCGGCAGCAACCGCTCCAGCCAGCTTCGGCTTCTCAGCAGCGACACCGCAGTTCCAGCTGCAGCGGCGCGGCCCGGGGTGGAGCGAGGCGGGCGAGAGCGCTGCGCCCTAGAGGGCTGTGCGTGAGTCAGTGGCGAGGGCGCACCGGGCCCACTCGAGCTCCATGCGCAAGGACTGCAAGGAGCGGGAGAAAGAGGAGGCGGCGGCGGCGGCGGCGGCAGCAGCAACAGCGGCAGCCATGGCGGGGCTCCACTGAAGGCAGCAGGCGGCGAGGGAGGAGGAGGAGGAGAGAGAAATCTCTGCATTCCCTCCACCCCATCCCTTGGCTGGGCTGGGCTCTCTGCTCTGCGCGGACTCCTTCCTTTATGCACCGCTGAGGACTTCGGGCATCCGACGCGACCCCAGCCGCGGGTGCTGCGGGGGGGCGTGTGTGTGTGTGTCGTGGGGGCGCGCGTGGCGTCGCCGTGGTCTTTTCCCTTCTCGCCAGATCCCTAATATTGCCGCCCTCCCCTGCCTTCGTCTGTTTTTTTTTGGGATTGCGTGTGTGCGCGTTGCAAACAAAGAGCCAGACACACGCCGCGGAGAGGAGAGAGCAGCGGAGCCGCACAGACAAGAGTGGAGGGCGGGCGGGCGAGCCGGAGGAGAGGGAGAGAAGATCTCCTTGGATCGAGTATGGCGGATCGCAGCCTCGAGAGCCTCTCTCTGCCGCTGGAGGTGAGAGCCCGGCTGGCTGAACTGGAGCTGGAACTGTCGGAAGGTAAGGCGATCTGGGGAGCTGGGGGGGGCGCCCGACCAATAAATCCAATCTCTTCTTCTTTCTCATGCCTCCTCATCCTTTTTCCTAAGCTGTTCCTCTGTCTGTTTCCTACTGTACACACTCTTTTTGACCACCTTAGCTTTCCAACCTTCTGGGAGCTCTTCCCAGTCCTCTTTCTGTCCCATTAGCCTGCTCTTGCCCCAGAATCTGTGTAATGTTTTAATCCAACTTTGTGGGGGGAAATTGGGAAAATTGACTGCAGATACTCTGTGGTATTTGTTTTCCGAGTAGGTAGAATGTTTATGAGTGTTCCGTGCCATCAGTTATTGCCATCAGTCAGAGTGAGGCTCGACTGCCAAAAAGCACAACACACATTTCTGGTGCCATTAGTATAAATTCTATTTTGTAATTTAACTGGGGGGGGGGGGGGGGGGGGGCGCCCGCCCCCCCCTTTCCCCTCCCCCCAGAAAATCAGGATGATGGCATCAGGGATTGTCGGGGATCTCTCCGGCACCAGAGAGCTGGGAGGAGCTGGGTGGAGAGAGCACATCCATCCCTTTGGGGAGTCGTGCGCTGCTTCCACGAAGGGGGCTAATCGTGGGGGAGGAGGAAGAGGAGGCGGGGTGGGGTGCGCAAGGTTAGGGGTGTGTGTGTGTGAATGGAGGAGGGGGGGGTGTTGCAACCAGCGACATCTAAAACGAAGGTCTCCGGGAGGTGGATTTGTCCCCCCTCTGCAGTGTGCTTCCCAGCTGGGCTTGCCATCCCTTGTGTGTAGCATCTTGCAATTGTTTCCTGTGGGTGTCACTTGCTCCTAGCTTTATATATATATATATGTGACAGAGCCTCAGAAATGGTCTGGGCTTGTGTGTCTGTGTGGGGGTTGTTGGGGTTTTTTTGGAGCGGGAGGGAGCCCCCGGTGAGACACCCCCGTTCCCCTCTGTTCTCCCCTCGGTGGAGGAAAATCACGTTGCTGCATAGATTTGCCTATTGTTTAGTTTGTCAGGAAACTGGTTGTTAAATTTCGCCTTTCCGGGGATGGGCGGGTGTGTGTGTGTGTTGCACATTGATTCTTGATGGCGCCTGTTGTCTCGATCCCTAGTGCCGTGGGGGGGGGCTGTGTAAATATATAGGCTGAACCCTGAAGGTGATGAATTCGATCTCCCCCCTTCCCTTCCTTCCTCGGCTATTCTTCTTGCTGTGGTGCTAAGTGGAGACGGGAGAAGGGGCGGTTGGCAGGAGAGCGGCCCTTCCAGGGCTGCTGGCATTATTACAGAAGACGGAAAAATCTTGAGGGCTGGGCTCGGGAGGGCTCCCATCCTGCCAAGGAAACACAGTTTTACTTAGGGGGGGGACACCCACGAAAGAACCAAACAAATCCCAGCCTCTCCAGTCTCTCTTGGTGCAGTTACTGTTTGAAGACAACCCTTTGACACAATACAAAGCCTGTGCATGAGATTCACACTCTCGAATCAAGTTTCAGAGAGGAATTAGCAACCTGAGGTTAATGGTGCTCCTACCTGCTCCTGGAAAAGCAGCCGTCTTTGGCTTTAAAGCTTGGGGCTCTTGTTTTATTGAAGAGGGTGTCATTTTGTGGGTTTGGTCCGCTATGCTGGTTAGAGAAGTTTTCACTCTACAGAGAGCATTTATGCCATTTCCCCGACATTTTATTCTTATGCGGAGAACAAACTGAAGGGGGGTGGGTAACCTTGCAATGTGGGACGCTGATGCATTTAGTCTGTATTCTATGTATGGCAGAACCTCTCTTTTGCTGCTTTCATTTACGTGTCCAGCGGCGGCTTGTTTTAAATAAGATTTGATGTTTCCATTTCCTGTCCATATTTCTCTGCCGCAGCAGCCGGGAGTCGGCTCTTGAAGTGCCTGGGAAAGGAATGCGGATAACTCTTGGCTGAGGGGTCTTGTGTTTCTGGAAGAAGCTGAATGTCCCTTTCCCTTTGGGAAGGTTATTCAAATAACATTTGACAGACAAAGGGCAGAAAACAACAACAACCCCCCTGTATGCTCCAAATTAAGGTGCTGGGGTACTTCAGTACGCAGGCAACGATCTTATTCTCTCTCCCCCCCCCTTCTCAGCATTTTTTGTAACGGTTTTGCGAGGGCTTCTAGCCAGAAAGTAAAATGCACTCATGCCAGTTCCATCAGCAGGGAGGAGCTTCTGTTGACATTGTGTTTTTCTTTTAACACTTTGGAGGAGGGGAGGAAGGACTAAGCTGTCGGGAATGGCTCAGCCATGCCTTTGTGGACTGTTCCTTAACCAGGACCACAAAACCGTTACCTGTACTAAGGGTTAAAGCAGTATTGACTTAGCTAAGCTTTTCAGCACCATGCACCTTCGTGTGCGTGCGCACATTGATTCTTTTCAGCACATCGATTTGCTCTTTTCTAAGTTAACAGGGAGAGGCAAGCAAAATTGCTACAGTATGCTGGATGTACCACTGTATACATGGAAGAGTTTGTATGTGTCTGCGCACGCACATGAAGGTGCATGGTGCATATAAAAGGCAGTTACCACGAGTACAAAATTTTAGCGTACTTATAACTTCACTGACTTGTACATGCAGTATGAAATGTTTCCAAAATAATAAAACTGCAGAATGAAATTCTGTGGCAAACCCCCGCCCCCCCGCCCGCCCATGGCCCATGCATTGAGCTCCGTCCAATATGTGTTGAGGAAGTGGGATGTGGTTAGCAATTTAGACACACCAATGGATCCAATTAATCCCTGCTGAAAGTATTTATTTTGTAAAAGGTTTATCTGAAATTATTTTTAGTTCACTGATAATTTTTTTTCTCTTGTTATGTAAAATCGCTCCACTATTTTCAGAGGGGGAAATCATTTTTGTGCAGCTTCTTTTGTGCAGAATGGCTAAGAAATTTAAGAATCCGGTATTGTTTTTTAAGAGAATCAGAAAAACTGCCACACCTGAAAATAACAGTGTAATCCTGACCATGTTTACTCAGAAATAAACTCCAATCAGTTCAGTTTCAGTTCTGAAACTGTCTTCAGTGACCTGGTATCTTGTGCACATTTCCTCAGAAGTAAGCCCAATGGATTTACTTCTGAGTAAACATGCATAAGATCAGTCTGCAAGGCTGCAATCCTATACATGCTTTTTGGAGTTAAAACTCACCAAACAAGGTGGAACCTCCTTTCAAGTATGCATAGTTTAGGCTGTTAGTATCTTAATTTTCAACATAATCAAATTTAATGAACATTTCATGTACCTTCGAAATGTCTAGTTACGTTACACACATTGCAGCACAGTTTGACTTGTAATGTGTCTCAAAGTTGACTCGTTCTTGCATCTCACATTTGGAAAGCATATTGAGTGACTTTCTAAGATTGCAAATGTTCTCTGCCCGTTATAGGAGAATTTAAATTGGTTTCATATTTTGTTAATGTATGCATAAGCTCTGATACGCCAGAGTGTCTGTGTAAAGGTCTCGCTTCAAGAAGACTGAGAGCTTCCCAATTGATTCAGATGATACCATGTGTGGGAACAGATGCAATGCTTATATAGGGTACTCAGCTTTCCAGTTGAAGCACCTGACCAATTAAAAGTTGTTTCTGAGAAACTAAAGCTTATTTTGCCGGCTCGGTTCCAACGTTAGGGTATTGTCTTAATCAGACTGGTTTCAGTTCATCTTTTTATGAGTTAGTGTGACAACTATTGTCCCCACTCTGGGACAGAATCCTTATATATGGAATTGCAAATGCTCATGTTGGCATTATGAGGGTGACCACAAGCATATTTAATAAAGGTAAAGGTTCCCTTGCTCGAAAGCCAGTCGAATCCGACTCTAGGGTTGCGGTGCTCATCTCCGTTTCAAAGCCGAAGAGCCAGCGCTGTCCGAAGACGTTTCCGTGGTCATGTGGCCGGCATGACTAAACACCAAGGCGCACGGAATGCTGTTACCTTCCCACCGAAGTGGTACCTATTTATCTACTTGCAATTTCTTGCTTTCGAACTGCTAGGTTGGCAGGAGCTGGAACCAGAGACGGGAGCTCACCCTGTCTTGCGGCACCCGGGTCTTGAACCGCTGAACTACTGACCTTCCACAGTCTGCAGTTCAGCGTCTTAACCACTTGAGCCACCGCAACCCAGAAGTAAATCCCATGGAGTTCACCAGAAATCCCTAATAAATGTGCTCAGGGTTGCTGCATAAACTTAACTATAAGAGCATGCTTGGTTGTCCTCTTAGACCTCTGGATGTTCCTGTGGTGACAGTGGTTGGGAGTTGTACTTCCTTAGGCTGGCTCACTTAGCTGGAGAAGACCAATACAGTTGGAGTAACCCATGCCTCAGAAGCTAAGCAAGGTCTGCCTTGGTTAGTACTTGGGTGGGAGACCACCAGATGTCCAGGGTTGCTATGCAGAAGTAGGCAATGGCGAACCACCAGAGTTTGTCTCTTGCCCTGAAAACTCTGTGCCATCGTCCTGGGTGCCAGTTAGTTTCTCTGGCCCAATTAATACCAGCATTCTAAACTGTAAAGCCATCAACAGCCTGGGCCCAACATACCAAAGAAATCTACTCTCAACTGAGCTGACTCACGCATCCAGATTTCCCTTGGAGGCATTTCTCCGTGTCCTTGGCTGTCAGAATAACTAAATGGGACAGGGCTTTCTAAACAGACTGTGGAACTCCCTCTGGAGGGAATTTTGTCTTGCTTTTTCCATTCTGGCGTTTTGGTGGTGCTTTTTGATGGCTAGATCAACACAGTTTGTTGCTACAGTTTTTCGTTTTCTTTGACCTTCAGTTCATCCATGTGGGTTTACTTTTTATGTCCTGCAGAATGTTGTCTTTTTGTTTTATTTTTAACTGGTAGTGTCTGTTTCAATTGATGGTTAGTCACCTTGGAGGTCTTATAAAATGGAAATGGAATATGGTCTTTTTTTAAATACATGCCATTTCAAGAATGAAGGACTCTTAGGATTGTGTAGGGCGAGGGGGGGAGTGTGATAATTTCTTGCATTGTTTGAC